AAGTGACGTTAACACGATGTGACGCCCGTATCATTGGAGTTCATGCGTAATTGTATAAAACTAGGTAGCCAGCACTGCAACCATGCACCACTGCCATTTACCTACATTACTCGTGCCCCCGCAGGTCACGGGATCGAATCCCGGCTGTGACGGCTGCATTTCCGATGGAGGCGGAAATGTTGTAGGCCCGTGTGCTCAGATTTGGGTGCACGTTAAAGAAACCCAGGTGGTTTAAATTTCTGGAGCCCTCCACTACTGCGTCTCTCGTAATCATATGGTGGTTTTGGGACATTAGACCACATGTATATTCATTGCGCGTGCATAGGACCTTCTTCAAAAGGAATTTCAAAACCTGGCGTGGCTGTGTGTTAGAATACTTCATTGACACGTAGAATGCTTGGGATCGATTCCTGGTTGGACCCTGATATTTTTTTTCTTTGCACCCATCACGCTAACGTTTCCGATATCAATTTTTCTTAAAACTCTCGCATTTAAATTATCTATTCTCACCGTTATACAGATAAACTTTCAATCACCTGGGCGCATAACCGGATACCGCGGCCAGACAGGAATGTGCCACACGTGTCTGCAGCAAAGGGTCTGACGACGTAAGCGACAGGCTTTTCACGTTATTCATATCATGACCATGCAGGTGAATTCTTCGAAACCCTCCCACACTAATTTTTGTCTACGCCGTGTTAAGCAGGCGATCATGAGGGCACCCTAACATAGGCGGCTAGATAGATAGATAGAAACGCTCAAAGTGACTGCAGTTTGCTGAAGAAACGCTTCGAATTCAAAAAATTTTGTAGCTATAGATTGATTGATTTATTGATATGTGGGGTTTAACGTCCCAAAACGACCGTATGATTATGAGAGACGCCGTAGTGGAGGGCTCCGGAAATTTCGACCACCTGGGGTCCTTTAACGTGCACCCAAATCTGAGCACACGGGCCTACAACATTTCCGCCTCCATCGAAAATGCAGCCGCCGCAGCCGGGATTCGATCCCGCGACCTGCGGGTCAGCAGCCGAGTACCTTAGCAACTAGACCACCGTGGCGGGGCATTTGGGAGCTATAGAACTGAATAAAGTTATCGACGTATAATTTTCCGTCATGTGGCACTTGGAGTATTTTGTTATATTGAGTATGAGTGGTTGAACAAAAAGAATTATGCGAAATTTTAAATATTGGCTTTAGATTCCAGTGCGCCTCGTTACGCGGTAGGGGGCATCCCAAGAAAGACAGATCCAACTTCTTGTGGTAACGTACTTGCATGCTGCGTGGTGATTTTCTCCGGCGTTTAAGGAAATCCTGTGAGATATGAAATAATAAAACTGCGCAACCGTATTGCAGCGTTCTCGCACGTGCTTCGAGCCAGAGAACCGTGCGCGTAAAGCATCATGGGACAATGACGCTTCCCTGCCTTGTGACCGCCGTCAACAATGCTGATGCACTGGGAAGCCGATGCCTGGCCTCTCTTTTCGGCACGGCTGCTTCCGTCGAAGAACATTTGTGAGCTCTGCAGTGCATGTGCGCGGCCAAGCGGTTTTATTGTTTCATACCTAGAAGGATTTCTTTCATAGCTAACTGAAGAAAATCCCCAGCGACCCGCCGCGGTGGTCTAGTGGCTAAGGTACTCGGCTGCTGACCCGCACGTCGCGGGATCGAATCCCGGCTGCGACGGCTGCATTTCCGATGGAGGCGGAAATGTTGTAGGCCCGTGTGCTCAGATTTGGGTGCACGTTAAAGAACCCCAGGTGGTTGAAATTTCCGGAGTCCTCCACTACGGCGTCTCTCATAATCTAATGGTGGTTTGGGGACGTTAAACCCCACATATCAGCAAGAAAATCACCAACGGTAACGTGTAGTAAGCTGAAAAAAAAAGAGGGGGGGGGGGGGTCTAGAATGCCATCTAGAACGCCACGAAAATCACTTGGCGCTCAAGTGAATATTGAAAAAGAAAATTACAGAATTAATCTCGGTTGATATAGGATAATAAAAAGCCATATAAAGTATATCCCAACGAGCGTCATTTAATGACAATCCAGATTTCACTCGTTTAATTCGTTTGCAGTTAACCATACACTAAATACTTGTTTCTAACGTGGAACACTCGCCATTTATCGTGCACTGTGGCAGGTTCGGTGAATAAAGCCAGTCGGGCTAGCTGAGGAACGTTATTCTCTGGAGAGAAAAGGAGGTGAGCGTTTCATTGCCTGAAAATATATATTTAAAGGAAAAGGACACGAAAAGGGGGATTTTAAGATACACAAAAGGTAATCTTACAAACAGCGGCGGTTCTCGTTAACGAGGGGAAACCTCTACGAGTCTCAACAGTCTCTCGGGTGCTTGAGTCCAGACGCGCAAGGAGATAGATACGGCTCACCAGCGGTTCATACCTTTCGACAGTCCAGCGGTAAAGCTGTGGTTGTTGGAGTGCTCGGGCCCGTAGGCCGACGGCTCGCTCCCGCTCTCGGTAGATGACGCCATCTGCGGCGCTGTCTGGAGCTGGAACACTGCAGGCCGTGCCAGGAACTAGCTTCGATGGCGGTCGAATGGTCAACTGGAGCCAGTGGTTCTCGTCGCCGGCTTGGCCTGGACACCTCGGTACCTGCACGCGATGAGCTCGTGCGCCGCAGCCGCGTTCTTTTTTTGTCTTTTTTATCCTGGCGCAACCCACTTGCGCCAGGAGTTCATCTGCCATGAAACGAACAATGTCTTGTTGTTTAAAAGCAAATGTTAATAATTTCGAAATGCTAACTTTTTTAATGAATATGCTTGATTTTGGTAATTTTTAATGATAAACTTACCATTCTATTCTTCGCGTCGAAGGAAATCCCCGTTCTTCCAAGCCCCAGCACGATTCTTCTTCTTTTTCCTTCTTCGATGCCGTCGCTCTGCTTGCTTGCTTGATCCTGTCTTTTGTGGCTCTCACCCACTAAGGGGGATTGGCCAAGAAGCCGGTGGTTAATGCAAGTCACTACTTTTAGGTTATCCAGGCTAGGGGAATAGGATTACCTTGTTTAGACTTTGTGGGATTAATTTTGCACAATGTGAAAAAAATGGTAAGAAGAGAAATAATAGAATTTGTTGAATATCTGAGGTGTATTCGTTATATAAAATTCTTCTGAAGGTTTAATCATTACAATGTAATAGCTAAATGGATCTTGCTTGCTTGTTCCTTTCTTTTGTGGCTCTCACCCACTAAGAGGAATTGGCCTAGAAGCCGGTGGTTAATGCAAGTCAATACATTTAGCTTTTCTAGACTAGGGGAATATGATTACTGTGTTTTGACTGTGAAATTATTTTGGCGCAATGTACAAAAAAGAAAAAAAGGGGGGGAGAACTAATAGGATTTCTGCGATCGATTTTCTTGCGTTTTTCTTCTTTTTCAACGGACAGTGTTTGCCGCACTGGCGCCCGTAACACATTGTCAGTAGTCCATCTTGCCGCGTCGAATTCGAGAATCACTTCACTCATAACATGCACACATACATTCTATTGCCGAGAGTAATATATATATATATATATATATATATATATATATATATATATATATATATATATATATATATATATATATATATATATTGCGAGTATTTATAACCCATGTTCAGAAGTCAGGCAGAGCCTCGTGATAAAGAGCCATATAACTTTTTTTTCAACATACCTTTTTTGACGACGAGATCGCTTCTATCGTTCTTCAAGTCAGGATTGTCTAAGTGTGTATTTTGTTTATTTTTGATAGCTCCGATGGTTCTTCGAGCGAAGAAGCATTCTGCGAGGTAGCAAAGAGCGCCGACCTTGTTATATTTTTCTGCTGTTGCTTAAAACACCGGCAGTATTTTATTTTCCCTTCGATTTACGCGTAAACAAACGCAGCTGTTCTCACAAAGTTCATTGGACGCCATTGATTTCCGCGTATTGTTAGGCATGTTTCTTAAACCTCGCTATGTTTTCAGACGCGCATGTCCGACCCGCCTTGCATGGTGGCGTTCCCAAAGCGTTTCGAAGAGCCCGCGCGCGTGTCACGTGGTTTAGCTGAAACTGGCTGCGACCAACGACAGCGGTTCTTCAGCTAAGCATTCAAGCTGGTTATTTCGGGCGCGCGCCGGAGGGCTGCTCGAAAGGCAACCTTCCCAAGGTCGGCTTCCAGGCCTCACGGCGTGCGAGCCTCGGCCGAGAATCCGAGCAGCGCGCGTAACGAGGAGCGGTCCGACTGTGCGATCGACGAGCTTCTCCCGTAGCCGCGTCGTCCTGTATCCAGGGCCCTAGCACGCGGTACGTGGCGCTGGCATGACGACAAAGGCGCGCTCCTATTTGCGGAACCGCCGCCGCCGCCGATTGAGACTGCTTGGCGTCGACAGAGCGCCTGCTCTTCCAAGGTCGCCGCCGCGGATGACGTCGGGTGCGGCCGCAGCTGTAGCGCGATAACAACATGCAACCAAGGCGACAAAGCAGCGCGTCCCGACTGGAGGTGCGGTCACGCCGCCGGCCGCAGCGGCCGGAGAGGTGACTCCCTTGACGAGGTGTCATCGGGCCGTTGACAGCGGTGGTGCGTTCAACCTGGCGACCTTGAACAGTCGGGCCGCCGTATGGGCAGCATCCAAAGCGATCACTCGCAATGAATGTGAGGTTTTGCACTTGGGCGCATGTAATGCACACGCGCCCGCTTTACCTTCGAAAGTTTCAAGCAGCGCGAGAAATGTCGTAATACGAAGCACTGTTGTTAATTTTGCTAAGAAAGACACTGCTCCACAGCACCTTCTTCCCACTGTATCGAAGGGCCGCTTGGATTATTGCGAAGGCTACTATCGCATGATTTCTAGACGAAACAAAACAAGTAAAGCATTAGGTACTGTCTCTGCGAACCTGAAGCGAACTCGCTCAATTGCATAGCGGCAGATAGGTTGCATGGTTATATGTATTTTAACACTTAATGATCATCGACGACTGTGACAGTTCACGGGGCGCAGCAGCGCACGGCATCGATCGCGTCGAAGGTTGGCCGGGCGAGCTCGCGCCGGGACGCGGCAGCCATGGCCAAGTGTAGGAGCAGCTCCTATGCGAGACAGCTGTATTTCAGCTGAGGGCGTGGAAACCACGTGGCCATGCGAGCGTGGTGGTGCCTTATAAACACAGTCGCCCATTGGCCGCAGCGCTTCGGAAATGGCTCGGCGCGTGCGCGTGCGGCAAGAGTGTGTTCGGAAAAGCTCGGTAAAGTTCGGGCTCTGTCGGAGCGAATGGGTGAGCGCGTGACGTCTCGCGACGTCAGTTTGTTTGCGGGTGCGCTCGCAAGAGGGCTTCGTTCTCGCGCGTTCCAAACCGTCACCATCGCTGCGTCGGCCACGGAGGCTGCCTTCTTTCTCGCCCATATTTCTTCGCGAGTGTGATCGCTTTGGTTTGGATTAACTATGAGCATCCACACGTTGCTGCAAGCTGCTGAATATATCGAACGGCGAGAGCGGGGTAAGTATATCTTGTACAGCCCAGCCGATCTAATTTCTGCTTCGCTGCCGATCTCCGGAGGGCACACGTTAGCTTCCAACATGGACGCCAACCGTTTTTTGATCAGCTGATTTTGACACGGGGCGTGCGTGCTTACAAACTTGGTCTCCTGAGGGCCTCATTTTTTTCTTCTCTCAATTTTTCTTGCAGAAGCCGAGCATGGCTATGCGTCCACTATGCCGATTCCGGTCGATCTCCCGAAGAAGAAGCCGAAGGCGAAGAAGACTCAAGGGAACAGGTCAGCAGCGCACGGCGATGTTTACCTTCTCGCGGCGCAGCCTATCCTGGAGATCGCGTGACGGAACGCCTATCCCTTGCTTGTAGGACCCTTGATTGCAATTTCTTAAGCGCGCCGTGGCATCTCCGGGCCCCAGGTAGCGAATCAATAACAGCGAGCCCGGCGCAACTGCTCTTACGATGCTATAGGCGCCTAGAGTGACGCTGGCGCCCGTAGCAACACGGTCGGAGTTGCAGCTGCCACCAGCAGGCTTCGAGTGGCTGTCACCTGAGCCTCGGTGTCGGAAAAGTGAGCGCTGGTCTCTGCTGCTCGCGCGGCCGTTCTATAGTAGCGTAAGCCTAAATGTCATTAGACCCCGATTACGCTAGGGTTAGCGGCTCAGCCGAAGTCGCTGATGCCGAGTCCGGGCCTCCAAAATGAGCGCGCGCCTCTGCTTCTCGGCGTCGAGCCCTGTCGCAATTCGCAGATGTACGCTTGGAGCGGCGCTGGTTGCCGACTGCTGGGTCACATGCCGTCGCACCAGCTGATCAGCCATTGCGGAATAAGCTCGGAATGCAGTCACGTGAGTGCAGTGCGCTTTTAGAAAGAACGGGATAGGCTGGGATCGACAACGTTACGACATTTGTGCACTTCGTAGTCGGTCCTTGCTAATGGTATTGTGAGCCCTGCTCTGCGCTACTTTTTTTTTTTTGCAATGCAAATAAATAGCATGCACGATTAGACCCTGAATAAACTTAGGCATTTATGTAATTTAGCCATGCGCACTTCTAACTCACACTTTCATATTCTTTTCCTTCCGCAGGACCACTCATAACGAGCTTGAGAAAAACAGGTGAGACCAAGTTTGTGCTCCTCGTATGCACGTGAACCGTTATACCCCTCTCGTAGGCGTACTGTACATAGTGCTATAAACTAGCTTTAAAGTGTGGCTTTGGCTCGCTGCCAAAAAAAAAAAAAAATTTTCTGCCAACAATTTGACAGCAAAAAAAGTTCGGTGACCTCCGGTTCGCAGCTCCCCTCTGACTCTGTCCAACTTGTGGTTTATGGGGCGAACTTGTGCGTGTCAATCTTCAGACGCGCTGCCGGTTTCAGATCGATTCAGAGTGCACTGGTGGTCGCATGTTGTTTTGATCGGCTCGGGGACTTGTTTTTATTGGCGCGCGCGTATTACGGATTCTGCGGTCGTTCCGAGGCTTGCTCCTTTGAATGACGAAGTCGTCGAGGAGGGAAGGTATCGCCGGCGGCTTGGTGTGGCGCCAAATGTGCACGAGCTCGAGAGCGTCCAGCATACTAAACCGATTTGGGCAGGCAGTGACCGCTGGAGTTGACCTTCAAGGTTTTGCGTCGGCGTGCTTGGGGGCGGGGAGGCGCGAGCTGGGAATGTAGCTCTATTTATACGGGCTCGCCCGCGGCGGTCATGCGAGCAGGTGTCGCAGCCTGGTGCCAGAAGCGGCCCGCGGTCGGGCGACGGCCACGCGCGTCTGACCTGGTCGCCAAACCGTGGGGCGCTCGTGGTCCAACCAGCTGCGCGTGGTTTTTGGCCGGCGTTGCGCGAAACGTGCTAGGCGACGAGCTCCATCGATCGGCGCTCTCGCTGCGCTGACGCTTCTCGCGACGCTCAAATGCACTCGGCGTGCACGCTGTAACGTGCTCGAGATCGATGCTATCAATTATTGCGGCATACGGGCTTTATGTGTGCTCCGCCAGCTGCCGTTTCAAGGGCGTCCCTGGCTGTGCATGCCGACGCGCAGGCGAGAATACTTTGCTCGGGCGACGGCGCGCGCTGTTCGTTTGCTTCCGCTGCATAGCCGAGGCCCTGCTGTAACAGGCTGAACGTCCTCTTTTTCTTTTTTTTTTTTGCACGTTGGCGCCGTAGTGCGTCCGGTCGTTGCATGCGTTGGTGTTTGTACCGCGGCGAAAAATCTGCGCTCGGTGAGCAAGTCGGCGGAATGCCTTAGCAGTGTAACAAGCCACTCTGCGCCAGATGGATCTAGGCGCACTTCACAGTAGCTGTAACGCAAGAAACGATTACCGTTGAAATGTGCTAACCAAGATAACCAGCTACTTTTACGAGTGCTTACTCACCACCGCGTTTCTCATGTGGGTATTTGTGGTACTCGCATGTGATTGGGTCCGCCCGATTGTTATTTCGTACTGAGCGCGATGCGCTTAAATTACGTACTTCCAACCTTCTCTGGGCGCACCACATTGAAGCAAGTCGTGTACATGTAGTGGCCTGAACATTCGCACTGATTGTTTTTTTTTTCTTTTTGCAAACTTTGAGAGGTTATGGACCGCTGCTAATTTCTACTGCCTTTGTACTACGCGTGTTTGTGGCGCCTTCGCCATCAGGTATTGTTTCCCGGGGATGGGCGATTCACTTGCCACGGATCAGTGCGAAGGGTACATACTTCTAGCGGGATCGTGACGTCAGCAGTTCTTTGTTAATAACGCTGAATGCGTGACTGATTATGAAGGTAATACTCATCTCCGCTGTAGCGTGAACTGGATGTTTTTTTTTTTTTTTTTGCAAGTCGACCACCCGTGCAGCATTGTTTTCCTTGGTAGGTGCAGCCTCTGTTCTTCAGCGTTGCCTCGAGATGTCGTGAGCTTAGCGTTAAGCTCAGTCACCCGATCTCTTGGTTGCTTCATGGAAACTCCTCGCGCCATGCTTAATTTTTTTTTTCGTTGTCGTTTCAGCTTCGTGCGCGTTGCGCTGTTATGGCGTTGTGCGCGGGCAATGCGGTTCACCGTTTTCTTGAGCACGGATCGTTTCCCGTGTTCCGAAGTCCGGGGGAGCAGGACGCGAGGTGAATGACATTCTGGAAGGCGTACGACAGTCGAACACTCAGACGTATACCATGAGGCTGAAAGCAAAAAGCTGGTAAGGGATCGGTGCGCTGCGGTTTTCTACAGAGTGAGTGCGGTATATTCGCGTAAAGCGCCCGGAAATCAATCGGACCGTTAGCGTAACCCGAAATTTCCTGGATTTACTCTCGGCCTCAGTTGAGCGTGCCGATGGGAACCCAATTCGACTACGTCACCGTGCCAATAACTTTCCAACTCGTATGAACCCCATATTGTCACATTGGTGCGAAGCCACTTTGTTGGTAGATGCTCCGAATGCATAGCACAACTCGCTTGCTAATGATTAAAACAACAAATATTGTTTGGCTATTTCAGTAAAAACTTGTAGCTGGGCGAGTTGGTTCGTAATTCAGAGTAAACTGGTGTGCGTAAATACAGACGAGACAGTGAAGATGAGACAGGGACATCTTTAAAGTGTCGCTGTATTTGCGCACACCAGCTTACCCGGAATTTGGCTGCTTCCTTTACCAAAAATGACAGCGTTGATTGTTCCCTATATCTGCCTTCATGATCGCGTCCAGCTGGTCTCGGGTTCACAAGCTTATGTAAAACTGTCTACATAATTGTATAATTTTAGGGTTTATTTCTTTTGTTGTTTGTACTAAAATATGTACCCACTCTTGCTATGTCTCGAAATCGAGACAGCAGTATGTATAAAATAAAAGAAATTATGTAGAACTGTCACAAGCATATGTAGCTTGGTTTCTTAATTTGTGTTGCTTCAAATTGCAAAGGCCCTAGGCCAATAATCTCTAAGCTTTTTTTTCCTTAAAAGACCTTCCTGCAGCAGTTGATGGCATTTACTGTACTCATATGTAGTACAGTGTAAGGATTGCTTGAAGTGTTTTTTTTTTTTTTTTGATCGCGGACATGGTCAAGGTGCGTTCAGTTTCTAATACCTTTGCCTAATTACTCAGGCCTTTCAATCAGGATGCAGCTTTTGTAATTTCTGAGCTTCAGTTGGGAGGACGTGTACAGGCGATGATACCAGCTGTGCCCCCTTTTACGCGGGAAAACATGGCGGCTTTTTGGCAGCTCGTGTCCGAGTTCTCAATCACGCCCTGACCGCGTGATTGGTGCCGATCACGAGGCGATCTCGCGTGCCGCCAGTGACCAGTCGCGCTCGGGTTCGTTGTAGTTTACGCTGTCGATAAGGCCTAGGCCAATGGCGGAGCGCCTCAGGCCCGGAATTGTCTTTTTTTTGGTGTCCTTTTTTTGCGTGTGGTCATTCTCGTTAGTCGGCATTTACGTTCAGCTTCGGGATCGGCGAGAATTTACCGCCAGGTGCGAATATAGCGTAATGATATTTCTCAATGCGGTCATATTGCAGTCTTTCTGAGGTAGTGTTCACGACTGGGCTGCACGTCGCTGCTTTCGGTTGCGCCTCGTGCTGCACAACGCTCGCTTGCATTGTGCCGCCAGCGCCGAGAGAAGCGCTTTGATTAGTCGACGCCGGCGTTCGCTTCTTGTCGTGGTTGTGAACGCGTGCTTGGCATGATTCCAAGCGGCATCAGTTCAGCTATACTATGCGATGCCCTGTTTAAAGTGCTTGTTCCGCGTGGTTAGAGGGCGGGCGGCCACAACGGCCCGTTTCAACTACTTCTGTCGCTGTATCGAAATGTATACGTAGCTCGGCAGGCAGATTGAGTTCGCCGTCGTTGTTGTTACTTTTAATGCGACCACTTCTCGCTACCATGCTGGTCCATGGTCAGGCCGTAAATCTCGCCCCGATGTTTTGCGCCCCGAACGTGTCGTAACGCGTAAGAAAGTCCTGAGTATTGCGTCGAGCTGTAGACAAGGCGGCGCCTTTCATCACGTAGCCGCAGTGTCATAAAATTGCCTCAAACTCATCGTAAATTTCACGCTTCGATGGCCTGTTTGTTTATTACGTCAATCTCTGCAGAGCCTTCGGCTGCTGTGAAAAGGGGTCTTTGTGGTCGCATGTGCGCGAAGACTGCACTTTCCGAGATATTGCAACGCGTAATATGCATTCCTCTTTGATAGCACATATTGCGTCCGCAAGCATGTCAGTAAGGCATAGAGAAACATACTTACATAAAGAGTGGACACTTCCGTAGAGCCGTGCGGCCCAAGTACTGCGCTACTTTCAGCGCCACGAGTGGCTTGTCAGACCCGATAATGCCTTTTGCATAAATAAAATGACAAAATTTTTTCTTTCCGATGCTGGGATTTGAACTCGTACCCTCATGTTCCGAAAACGAGTGTCTTTACCACTAGGCTACACACCCATCCGTACACGAAAGGAATAAATCTACAGCACATCTAAACCACATGAATTTATACCCTATTGGCAAAATAAATGCAGAAAAACAACACTTTCTAGTCAAACTTTACTGAATTTTGTGTTAAGGCATTAAACGTCCTCATTGGGACACGTTGTAAACCGGATGTGGAAAATTGTACAAATCAATAGTTTCTTCTTTGCAAAAATTTGATGCCAAACTTATGTTTTCATTGACCTCCCGAGGCGGCTATTATATGGCATGACAGAAGAGTGGAAGCAAGCATGGCTGCGCCATCTACCGGTTTTCCAGAGCCTATCTCGCTGGGCGCCCCGCCGTGGTGGTCTAGTGGCTAAGGTACTCGGCTGCTGACCTGCAGGTTGCGGGATCGAATCCCGGCTGCGGCAGCTGCATTTCCGATGGAGGCGGAAATGTTGTAGGCCCGTGTGCACAGATTTGGGCGCACGTTAGAGAACCCCAGGTGGTCAAAATTTCCGGAGCCCTACACTACGGCGTCTCTCATAATCATATGCTGGTTTTGGGACCCTAAACCCCACAAATCAATCAATCAATTATCTTGATGGGCGGCGAAGAGGCTCGAGTTGCCATTCTCCCTATAGTATGTTTCTCTATGAGTAAGGTGCAGCCAAAAACGCCGTCTTTCAGCTGGCCATTTACTGCTATCAACTGTGACGTCGAGATGTCCATCGTGAGCGACCTT